CTTTAAAAATCTACATATATCCATCCGAATAAGACTTAGCATAATTGACTAATTGAACAAACTTATTGTAAAGTTCGATTCCAAATTATGCTGTCTCGTCCGGATGGACAATCTCACTCGCCCGTACAGTGCAGATTTGTAAGCTTTAAAGATGTAAAAATCCAGGCACACAAACGGCAACAAGACTTTTTTTTTATTTTTGAAGATCCTGTTGGGGATAGCGCGACGGAACGCGCGTTTGCTTTGAGAGTATCATTAAAGTTATCAGATTAATAAACTTTTCAAATTATAAAAATTCTGTTTAATTCAATTTTCACAAAACCCATTCGATGGCATTCTAGTTTGACGATGGAATCATATCTTGGATGTTTCAACAGGAAAGCGAAACTCTCATTGAGACGTTGCTATATGTGGCCTCCGCGGCGGTCATTGCAACGATCTCATCAACCCCAAGTGTTCCAGGCATGAGGTGATGCTGCGTAATGTCACGCACTTCGTAATAGTGCAGTATTCGCGCGATTTAGCAACTATGGTTGCTAAATCGCGCGAATACGGTTGCTGTCGATTAATTGAGGACACGCTCTGTCTGTTGGCGAATGGTTCAGCCTTTAGCGGTAAGAAGCGATCGATTGAGTTGGATTCGTCTCGACCTATATATTCTGTAACTCGACTTATTGCAATCATTATGAGCATATAATGATTGCATAACGAGTTACAAAAATCCACTGATGAGTCACCCAAAAAGAAGTTGTATAACTCTGGATGCTCATTTCTCTGTATTTATCTACCAGCATCTATGATTCTCGCGTTTAATATGACTTGGTCAGAGCCTAGCTCTAGAAGTTTTTTCCTTTAAACTAGTTCGTGAGGGGTTGGATCCCATCATTTAAATTGTCTAGATTATTAGACAATCGGCAATGGTACCAACTTTTCTCTTATTAGAGACGCTTGTCACATCTACCTGCTTCTTCAAATAGCTTGTGATATAGCACCACTTATGTCTCATTAGAACTAATAATTAGAGCATATGATTGAGTCAATGTTAAACGTGATGTAAGCGTAAACCAGAAGTGATGGACACGATACAATCGATTTTATCTTCTTTCGCGTGAGGCTTAACCCTTGTTTGATATTCATCATGTGTTTCGCAAGTACTCGACATGTGGTGTTGATTCCACTGATCGAAATAGTTCTATCATGGGTATTGTAAACGTGAAATATCATAGTGTAGCGTGAAAGACTTATAAATGATTAGTCCGCGCGCGATTAGTATATTATTCGCAAATGTTTTACGCGAGTGTACGAGAGGATGTCAACCTAATTCTAAGAGGAGAAGGAGATCTAGAAGAAACAACCGGTAGAGCAATCTTGCGGTAAATATCATTTTTATGTAACATCAGTATCTTACGTAACATCAGTATCTTTTTTCTATTTATCTTTGAATCGGTCTATTTTAATGATTTAAAAAGGATTATTTTAAAATTATTTTGTAAATATGTATTTTTAAAAAAAGGTATAATTATTTTTATAAACATCTAACTAAATGTGATAAATTACAAATTCACTGCTTATAAAAATTAAATATTTTGAAAATTATAAGATTAAATTAAATTATTTTTAAAAGAACTTTACATTTAGATTAAATATTTTTTAAAATATTAATTGATTTTTTCTGCTCTGTTTTGATTTGAATTTTATATTCTTCTTGAATAGAATCATCATAGCGACGTTGCAGATGTAACACCGTTGTTGCGCATCAGGTCGGTGAATGATCAATTTTTTTATGAGGTAACGGATATGTGATAATTTCATTAATATATTACATATCTAGATGCATATATGCATTAATGTAATAAAAATGGATAAATGAATAATATGTACAGCATTCCATACATCCGTTGTCTTAAAATGGATAAGTAATAACAGATTAGGATAAACTTAACTCTAGGTGCACCCTAAGACCCTAGCGAAATTTTCTAAGGTTAGCATTTCTGAAATTGGAAGTAAGAGAGTTAGGACATTGACGTAAAAATGTTTGGGGCTTTCTTAGCATGTAGACGTGGCAGTTCAATGCACCATTTGCCGCTGAACTATCGAATAGTAAATATTTAAAGTGAACTTGGAGTCCCCGAAACCCCAGTGCGTCAAATTTATAACTTTTTCAAGGTGAGTACTTTTTCAAATTTGTTTTATGTTTCTAATGTAAGGTATTCATTAAAAATAATATTAGTAATTATACAGTTGCAAAATCGGAACCCACGTACAACAATAAAGTTCACCCGAGTAAATTAATAACGTTTTTTATAATTGAAATAAAGAGAATATAGAGACGCGTGCAAAAACACGAAGCGGCACGGAGATTCAAAAGATGCTCCGATCTCATCCCAAAGCGGAGAAGTTTGAGCAGCCGAAGAAGAATGTTTATATACAGCTTCGGAAAGTGATTGACCAGGAGAAACTGATAATGTAACAGATTCGGAGAACAATTCAATGATAATTTCGAATTCGATGAGCCAGAAGCTCCTAAAGAGACGCAAAACGAACATATGCTTGCCAAAAATAATCTACGGCAAGAACCGATACAAATGGACAACAATAGTGAAAGTAGGGAATGACATTTAATGGAACGTCTAGTAATTCATTTACCTGGAGGGAAAGACATTGCTACCACAGTCACTAATCCTGTAGAATCGTGGTCGTTACTGATGACTGATGAAATACTAGATATTTGTTGATTTGTAATGTATACAAATGCAGAAATAGCATTGAAACGCGGAAATATCCAAGAATAATCGTACACGCACGATGTAAATTTATGTGAATTGAAAGTGTTTATTTGGCTTTTGTATTTTGCTGATGTGCACGATGCTGGTTATAACAACACAAATAATTGTGGAGCATTCCTTGTCGATTTATCAAGCAACAATATCGCGTAATAGATTTGTGTTTTTACTAATGACGATTAGATTTATTGATAAAACAACTCGTGTTGAACGTAGGCAAGTCGACAAATTAGCACCGATTCGCAAAATCTCAAATGTTTGGTAAACTGTAAACAATATTATACCCCATCTCAGAAATGTACGATCGACAAGCAAGTTGTTCGGTTTTCGAGAACGTTGTACTTTTCATATTTGCGCTCTAAACCCGATAAATGTGGAATTTAAATAGTTATAGTGATGAACGATGCAGAAATTTCATATATGATAAATGCATTGCCATATGTAGGTCCCGTATCAAACCAAGAACCATTTGAATCAATTCCTAGTTATTATGTTCGTACTCTTTCGGAGCCAATTTACGGTAACAACAGAAACATAACATAATGTGACAATTGGTTTACTTCAATTAAAATTGCCGAGCAATTAAAAACTTTATATTCTTTGACGCTGGTTGGTACAATTCGAAAAAACCAAACGGAGATTTCAGAAATTTTTAAAATCTCAAAGGAGGCATCTGCGCGATTTGCTTATGCAAACAATCAAGATTATACTCTTTTTGTAAAGCTCTAAAAAATAAAATTGTTTTACTTTTGTCGACATTACATAAATCTGAAACATATGATATTGACACGGGAAAGCCTGAAATGATTGCTTTTTATAATTCCATGAAAGGAAGCACCGACATTTGATCAAATGTGCCACGAATACAGTGTTACACAAGATACGCATCGCTGGCCTTTACTTTTTTTTGGCATGCTAGCCAGGTATAAATAACTGTATCTTATATTTACTTAATGCTCAAAACGAGCAAAAAAGTCACGCGAACTTCTTGGAGGACTTGGCAATAGATCTTATGAAATCATTTTTGCATCTGTCCATGAAAACTCTGCGCAGGTCAGTTCGAATTATGTTAGAAATGGTGGCTAAGAGTAGACAGCACCGTCGAAAACATGCAAGTATTAGAGGATATTAAGCTTTCAAAAAAAAGTTGTTGCGGATTTTGTCTCCGGGAGAGAGATAAAAAGACACAGTTTGCACAAATATATAAAATTGTACTCATTGCATAGACAATGTAACAATATTGTCATACATAATATAAATTTTTTGTCACAGATAATATGAATTTTTTTTTCGAATAAATAACATTGTATATGCATTTTCATAAGAATTTGTTTCATTTTTCTATCTGTATTTATATTACTATAATTTTTAAATGTTTTTAAACATTAATAATTTATTACATATATTAGCGAACCAATATACTAATACATTAAAAATCATATATTGATTATAACAAAAGTTTCTGATGTAAAAATCAAACATTTTATACTATCCCGCAAATCGTACAAAACATGAAAAATAGAAAATTCTCCATTTTTACTGCTTGCAATTTTGTTGAAAAAATAAAAATATCGGATCGCCAAATTTTTTTTTTATATTTCAATGCTCTTTCAGAATTTTCAAGAAATTTTCAAATCTAAACAAAAAAGATATGATTAAAAAAAGTGTTAAATTTTTTCACGTTTCTAATTTTTGTTTTTCTTTGAACCTATATTTCTCGAAGTTCCTTAATTCTATCGATTTTTACACATTATGGGGCTTGTTCCTTGATTAATTCTCCATCGAAAAAAAATTAATTGAAATATATCCATTTTTACGGTAATAAATATGAATGGAACTCCAGAGTGTACATCTAAGGGGCAAAAAACAAGTGTGTACACCTAGGATTAAAAAATATTTTAGAGTTTTGATTAATTGATTAGAGTTAGATCAATTTCATTAATATGAATCGATCAATAATTTCCTCCTTGGTAAAATCGGACAAACTTGTAAAATATATTAAAGATATGTAAAATATATTAAAAATGAACAAAATATCTTCGAAAATCATCTATTTGAAAAATAAACAAAATATTTTTGAAAATATCTATTCGAAAATATCTTGTTATTAACTCAATTATGCTGCTTACCGTACATCGATCTTCCATTTTTCATTGAAAATAAACATTTTATCCCTAACAGCGAGAGATCAGTGTTTTTCTAGTTTGTTCTTCATTTATCGTATGCGATCTTCATCATCTGTGCGGGCAATAAGGAATATGTGGAAACAGATGACAGTGGATGGATTTGAATCTAAAACAAAATGAAACGAATAGATATATATTAACGAGGATATAAATCTTATTTCAACTTTTTTTATTACAATGTTTTAAAATACAACTATAAATATAGAAGCGTTTATATTTTTAAAATACATTGAGAGATATAAATCTAACTGTAAGCGACAAAATGAAAACTTTTAATAAAAATGTAAAATCATGTAATTTATGGAGATTATTTTTAACGCTTATTCATAAAATAATTGCTAATTATGCCAAATAAAATCTACATCGTTGCTATTACATTAACATAATTCTGTCTCATTTAGAATTAGTATCTATTCATATTAATATTAAGCATATTAATTTCTAAAGTCTTTATTCTATTAATAATCCTCTATCATCTGATTGATTATTTATCATTCGCTGTCTGTGCACGAGCTACATAATAGTATTCTTTTCAACTGAAATATCAATTACTTTAGTTACAGACGTTTATATTTAACATATACATTACATTGATTTGCGTAGTGTACATTCCAATATGTATCAAGCATACTTTTGTCATTGGTAATTCTATCATAATGTTGCGCCATCGCATCTTATAATATTCATCAATGTTTATCCAGTTTAAAGCCAATAATATACAAAAAAATATAAATAGTAAAATATAAGTAATAAGCAAATCAACATTTTGAATTTGCTATTTCTTACGTTACTGTCTTCTCTATTCTGAATAGCTGATTACTGCTTATGCCTTATATTTTTCTGTGTGTCATTAACTGTTGTTGTCATTAACATGTTTCAAACTACGACACACAAAAAAACTTAAACAAGACGTAAGCAAATGAACATTTTAAATTTATTTATGTCTACGTTATTTT